AAGCAAAGTTGACTACACTGAGAAATACATCTGGTATGAGTGCTGAAGTGTCGATGGACACTGAAGCACAGCTAGTCACCTGTATAGCGTTGGGAGAATAAACGGCAAGTAAAAGCGACCCGAAACTCAGTAAGAGCAGTGTCACTGGGTGCAATCTTAGAGTACATGAAAGCACATCTCGAAAACCTGCTTACCTACATGAGGTTGACATAGACGCACAAACTATGGCTGACCAGAAACCACTGGCAGACCACACTCAATCTGGATCCAAGCCAGAGAGTCCCGCAGTAGAAACTGCAAGAAAGACCACAGAGTCCCACTCCAGTCTTCGACATACCTCCCTCGTAATGAGTCTAATAAGCAGCATGTCAGTCTAAAAAATGACAATGCATGGGTAACGAAGCACATTCCCAAAAACGTCACGCAGCATGTGAGTAAGAATACCCCTTCCCGAACTAGGGTAACATGCCTAGCAACGCACATAACTTGGGAATGCAACGTAGAATGGATCCTCAGGATATATGGAGCACTAAACGGGACTCATATAGGCACCATATTAACGAAAATTCTTGTCCAAACTCTCGCACTATCTATGTTAAACCTCATCAACATAATGAGTATAGATCGACACTTGATCCCCTTAATAACTTCACTCACACACCTGATGTAAGCCAATATGCATACGACTATGAAAGCCCCATGAGGTACAACTACCAAGGTAATCTTAACACAGGGTACCTGGGTCCAGCAAACTACAACGCAAATTGCAAGGCAGGCCATATATCACCAGGAAATGAACGCAGATGCCAACCCATGGATGCTAAGTCAAAATATGCAACAGGATTATTTTCGGCTGCAGCAAACAATAGCCCCACTCGCTGCACAATTCATCCAGGAAATAGTATACACACTGACTCTGTCTCAACTCACAGCCCCTGTAGGGGACTAATATTAGAGTTCACTAACATTCCAAGTATAAAAGTAATAATCCAAGTCAGTGGAGTGTTAAATCACAATATATTACCAAAAATACAGTGACGAGTTATAGCAACAAAAAGGATTACTTGAAGATAACGTCTAAGTCCTCGGCTACAAATTAATTATATAATCCACGGGCACGTTAATTGTTTGGACTGCGTCTGCTGTAGCTGCTGTGTTCCGGTTGTAGAAATGTCTTCGGTTGAGAGTAGTAGGCTCCTACAATAAATCCGAAGTATACAACACGGTGTGAGTGGAGCAAGTAAGCAGAAGTGACCAGGGAGAAGACGAAGTCTCCAACAGCAGAGTGTATTTTTCAATTGTACACGGAAGTTATGTATATTTCAACAAGAAGCGTTTTAAACAAAAATTATGTACAATATCTCGAATTTATACAAGTAACCAAAAAGTGTACAATCACATTGTTACGTACTCAACACGGCTCCCCCCCTAGAGGTCCGGAGAGACAACCGGGAAATGATAAGTAAAACTATGAAGTAAATAATAATAGTAATAGCAACTTTTGGATAAAAATAGGGATATATTACAACATGCATAAACGCGAGAAGGTATGTGAGTCATGTAAAGTCTGAAAGCATATACAATTGGTTCAGCAATAAAAATTGAAAGAGAAAGTCATGTCACTTAAATTTGCACTAACCATGAACATAGATTTTTAATGTATAAAGAAAAATATGTAAATACACAGTAATTAAGGAGGGGAAAGAAACATTTAAAAAAATATGGATTAAAGATCAATAGTTTTTGGAAAGGACACTACCTGTTTTTTCGGTGAGGTACATATAAATAAATAATAGTGATAGTAACATCAAAGTTTACGACGAAATACTAACCGTCATGATGATAATGTCTAAACGAAAAAGATAATAATAATTTTTAATTATTTTTCTTTTGTTAGTCCTCAAAATGAACGTAGCGAGCCGGTTTACTGATTTGCCGACCACTACGTGTGTGATATGGAGGGAGGATAAGACTTGGTGCCGGTGGAGGGGATTCGGATGTTTGATTATTTGATTGCGCAGCTGCCGATGTAGATTCGAAGTCGTTGTCGGTGTATGCGGGTTTGATTCGATCAATTGAAACAGTCTCTCGTCTTCCATTCTTGTTCACTGTAAAGTGTTTGTCTGAACGTTTAATAACTTGAAAGGGTCCTTCGTATGGAGGTTGCAATCCTTTTCTGATGGCGTCGACTCGAATGAAGACGAATTTGCAAGTTTGTAGATGTTTGTTGATCTGATCTCTTCGGGGAGATTGTCGAGGTGCTGTTGGTTGAAGTTGAAGCATTTGTCTAGTTAATCGGTTAGTGAAGTCGGCAATGTTCACGTCTGTGGAATCGGCTGAGGGGACTAGCTGTCCAGGCAAGGTTAGGTTGGTGCCATAGACAAGTTGAGCCGGTGTACATCCTAAATCTTCTTTGATAGTAGAACGGATACCAAGTAAAATCAAAGGTAAGTATTCACTCCACTTAGATGTATCATTCTGCGCCATCAGGGAGCTTTTCAGTTGTCTGTGGAATCTTTCCACTAGACCATTCGCTGCCGGATGATAGGCTGTTGTGGAGATATGTTTCACTCCCAGAAGTCTCGTCAGTTCGCGAAAGAGTGTCGATTGGAATTGAGGACCGCGGTCGGATGTAATAGTAGTTGGTACACCGTAGTTTGACACCCAACGGTCGAGAAAAACTAAAGCAACGTTTTCAGCAGATATGTCGTTTAAGGGGCATGCAATAGCCCAACGAGTAAATCTATCAATCGCTGTCAGGATATGTGTATATCCCCTTGATGTTGGCAATGGTCCCACGATATCTATATGGATATGCTGAAATCTCCTTTCGGGTAATTCAAACGTCTTCGGGGTTGTAATAGTGTGGCGGTGTACTTTGGAGCATTGGCATTGGATACATTCTCGTGCCCATCTCCGAATGTCAGAGTTCATTTTAGGCCACACGAAGCGTTCGCTGATCAGTCTGACCGTGGCGCGTACTCCAGGGTGAGAAAGCGAATGTAAATGTTCGAACAATGCTTTTCGACAACTTAGTGGAACAAAAGGTCTATGAACGCCCGTTGAAACGTCGCAGACGATAGTTGTATCAGACAGGGGAATAGGTACATCCTGCAACTGTAGGGAGGAGTTTCGTCTACAAGTATGGAGTTCGGCGTCATTTTTCTGCAGCTTGGCAATATTGTCTAGGCTAATATCTATCGAAGATAGATGATTAACGTCACATCGAGACAAGGAATCGGCTACGATATTGGAATCTCCTTTGATGAACTGGATGTCTGTTGAGAATTGTGAGATGTAATCCAGTTGTCTGGCTTCTCTCGGAGAGTGTCTGTCCAACGAAGTGGTGAAAGCATAACAAAGAGGCTTATGGTCGGTTAAGATAGTAAAATGTCGACCTTGTAGTAAGAAGCTGAAATGTTTCACTGCTAGGTAGATGGCTAACAGTTCTCTGCCAAAGGTACTGTAACGAGTTTGCGCAGGTTCCAATTTCTTGGAGAAGAAAGCAAGTGGAGTGATGTCATTATTGAACTTTTGTTGTAAAACTGCTCCCACTGCTACCTGTGATGCATCTGTACATAAAATGAGTGAAGCTTCTGGGTTGATGTGAGATAACATTACGACGTTGGATAAGGCATCTTTTGCATTATTAAATGCTGCTTTTGCTTCTTCAGACCACTGAAATTTCTTCGAATTGCATCTAAGTAGGTCGGTCAGTGGCTGAACTATGGAGGCACATGATGGAATAAAACGTCGGTAGAAGTTGAACATCCCGAGAAAACGTCTAAGTTTCTTTAAGGAATCAGGTTCGGGAAAGTTCTTAATAGTTTCTATCTTATCTTCGGTAGGTCTGATGCCTTCGGCAGTTATTCGATGTCCTAAGAATTCAATGGAAGGGGAACCAAAAATACATTTCTTTGGATTGATAACAACTCCAAATTGTTCAAACCTTTGAAATAACAAGCTTAAGTGTTGCATATGTTCTTCCGTCGATGAGCTGGCAATTAAGACATCGTCGATATATACAAAGACGAAATCAAGACCTTGGGTAACTTGGTCCATAAAACGCTGAAATGTTTGAGCAGCATTCTTTAGTCCGAAAGGCATTCTCAAGAATTCGAATAATCCAAAAGGCGTAATAATTGCTGTTTTTGCAATGTCTTCTGGAGCGACTGGTATTTGATGATATGCCCTCACCAAGTCAACTTTAGTAAAAATGGTCTTTCCATGTAAGGTCAAGGAGAAGTCGTGGAGATGAGGTATAGGATAACGATCTGGTACCGTAGCGTTATTCAAAGCGCGATAATCTCCACATGGTCGCCAGTCATGATTAGTTTTAGGTACCATGTGCAGAGGTGAAGACCATGGGCTGTTAGATGGTCGTATGATACCTAACTGCATCATATGTTCAAATTCCGACTTAGCTGCTGCTAGTTTATCGGGTGGTAACCGTCGTGGACGTGCCTTCACAGGTTGTCCTGTTGTGATGATCTTATGCGTAACTGTATGAGATATATCTTCGACATTGTATGATGGTTTAAGGATTTTAGGAAATCGTTGCAATAAAGCAGAGAACATTTCACTCTCCGGCTTTTCTATGCAGATGCTATGAACAGAGTAGTCGCATGTAATACCATGGATCTTGAGTTGGGTGCAATTGTCAACCAGTTTTTTCTTGCTGATATCAACCAACAGATTGAAGTGACTTAGAAAGTCTGCACCTAGTATAGCGTGACGTACGTCAGCTACTATGAAGATCCATGTGAAACGTCGGCGTAGTCCCAAATTTAAAATCATTGACTGTTCGCCATACGTCTGTATGTTGGTTTGGTTGGCAGCACGGAGTGAAAGTTTTCCAGGTATTTTGGCTGATCGCCTGGATAGTGAGGGGGGGATAACACTGACCTCGGCGCCTGTATCTACCAGGAATAATGTGCCGGTAGTCAAATCCCTCACATAAAAAAGGCGACTGTGGTGATTGCCAGTAACAGCTGTCGCCATCACTGTCTGGCTGAGGCGTTTCCCTGAGCCTGGTTGGCTTCGCTAAAGCTGCACGGTTTTACACATTTCAGGGCATGACGTCCAAACTTCCAGTGATACCAGCATATATTGCTATCCCGAGAAGACGTGTAAGAACGCTGTCGTGAGAAGGATCGTCGTCGTGATGGTGACCTTCTCTGTGAGCTCCGCCTCCGGACTTGTCGATCCGACCTATTAGTTTCCAACTTGTCAATCCTTGCCGCTAAGTCTGCAATGGCGGCGAGTATCGGTGTGTCTGCCGTGGGTGTGGAATGACACGGTGTGGCACTATCAGATGCTACGTGACTTATGGTGTTATCAGATAAAACATCCATAATACTATCTGCCATGTCACTTAGTTGGTCTAAGTCATACGACTTTCCTGAGATGATTAAAATTTGCTGGACATTTCTAGGTAAACGTTGCAACCACATCTGTTTCAGCACTACCTCGTCTACTTTATGATGTCCGATTAACTGGCGCATGTGCCTGAGCAGCTGGGATGGTTTACGTGGGCCTAGTTCACAGCCTGTGAGCAATTGTTGGATTCTTTTCTCATCCGACAAACTGGTACGTTGTATGAGGAGGGCTTTAAGTTTATCAAATTGATGTTCCGTCGGAGGATCTTCGATGAAATCGCTGATTTCTGTCAATACTGACGGAGGGAGTTCTGCCAGCACCATACCATATTTGGCTATTTGGGACTTAATGCCCCGTGCTTCTAGCAACGGTTCAATTACCGCAAACCAAATCCTTGGTTCTGCGAAACCGTATTGGGGTAAACGAAAATCAGTGATGGCATTTATTGTGGCGTTTGTCTCGCTATTAGTTGTCTGCTCATTTGATGTACCGGACCGAGGTGATGACATTATGAATATGGGGTTATTGGTACAAATTAGGATACAAATATAAACCACACACAAAATCACAATGAATATACAAAATAGCAAAAATAAGAATATGAATATGCCAAAATAATCCGTGTTCTTATCGGGCTCACCAATTAATTTGTAGGGGACTAATATTAGAGTTCACTAACATTCCAAGTATAAAAGTAATAATCCAAGTCAGTGGAGTGTTAAATCACAATATATTACCAAAAATACAGTGACGAGTTATAGCAACAAAAAGGATTACTTGAAGATAACGTCTAAGTCCTCGGCTACAAATTAATTATATAATCCACGGGCACGTTAATTGTTTGGACTGCGTCTGCTGTAGCTGCTGTGTTCCGGTTGTAGAAATGTCTTCGGTTGAGAGTAGTAGGCTCCTACAATAAATCCGAAGTATACAACACGGTGTGAGTGGAGCAAGTAAGCAGAAGTGACCAGGGAGAAGACGAAGTCTCCAACAGCAGAGTGTATTTTTCAATTGTACACGGAAGTTATGTATATTTCAACAAGAAGCGTTTTAAACAAAAATTATGTACAATATCTCGAATTTATACAAGTAACCAAAAAGTGTACAATCACATTGTTACGTACTCAACACCCCTCCAAACATAACGTAGGGATAGTAACAAGTAACCATGTTAACCTCTCCTCCAACAACTCTGGTTCACTAACAATGCTAGCTAGATCTCTCCTTAATAAAATAACAACGCTTCGCTGCCTGGCATACATAGAACGGCCAACACTAATAACGGTGACTGAAACCTGGCTTACTACTGATATACCTGACACAAAGCTAGTAATAGACAACTACGACATCTATAGGAACGATAGAGTTGACAAAAGAGGAGGCGGTTGCTTAATATATGGCTCTAAATCCACTAAGTCCAATACTTTCGATAACCCAACTACTGACAAACTCTCAGAATCTAAGTGGATAAGCATCCACACAAACGAAAATAAAATTCTCGTGGGATGTATATACAGACCCGATAATAGCCCTGAAATGACTGATATAACTATTGGAGAAATACTAGAGCATGTAGCTACGCTGGATTTCGACTACAAAGTAGTATGTGGCGATTTCAACTTACCTGGAGTAAACTGGGATACCTGTACAGGACCTAGAATCCATGACGAGCCACTACAAGCTATAGACGTAGGAGGATGGAAGCAATGCTTACGCCTCCCTACAAGAAACAAAAATACTCTTGACTTAATCCTCTGTCACAAAATAGAGCCCATTTCGATAGAGGTGGAAAATAAACTCGATAACAGTGATCACAACATATTGCACTGCACGCTACTCCTCCAACTAACAACTAAATACACACCCGAAAATTCCCCGGTGCATTATCAATATACGGACTATAAGAATGCTGACTGGGAATTCCTAACAGATCTGTTGAGAAGTTCTGACTGGGAAGAATACTTCATCACCAATAACTTAGAAGTATCACTTGAGATTTTCTACAAAACAATTGGTGCAGCAAGAGACATAATCGCGCCCCTAAAATCTGCTCTAAAGACACCAACTACATTTATTGACCGCAAAACAAGACTAAAACTAAAGAGATTGGAAAGGGAATATCATGTATTTGAGGAATTTAATGCGTTAAACCAAATACATGAAACTCTTAAACTGCTTGAAGAGAAACACACAATGATGTCACAACTTGATAATAATATTAATAATAATACGATAATAAAGCGCTTATGGGTAACACCAAAACTCAGGGACTTTGTAGGATATTGCAGAGACGTCTAAAAAGCAGTAAAGACAATAATAATAAGCAGCTTGGAACATAAGGGTATAATATACAACGATCCCCAGGTTATAGGTGAACTCCTTAGTGAGTGGTTTTGCAATTACACCAGAGTGCACCCAACCCCAAATTTCCAAATGACCTGCAAAAGTAACCACAAATTAGGCGAAATAGACTTTAATATGCAAAATATAGACTCAGCAATTAAGACATTGAAGTCAAATGGCAGTACTGGAACAGACGACATACCATTTATCATATACAAAGATTGTGGCACGGAAATGGTAGTCTTGTTACTTAGAATATTTACTCTCTTACTGGAAACTGAAACTTATCCTGAAATGGGGAAAACCACATAGATATTACCTAAGCACAAAGCAGAGGCCAAAACCAGTGCATGCAACTATAGACCTATCAATATAACACCGGTAATATCACGAATAATGGAGAAAGTGGTTAAAGACCAAGTGTCAGGCAACTTACTAGAACATGAACTTACCAATCCATCACAACACGGATTCCTCAAAAAGAGATCATGTGTGACCTGTCACATAGACTTTTTCAACGAAATTACACGAAGTAGGGACAACAGAGAACTAGTAATTGTGCTATATTTCGATATAACAAAAGCCTTCGATAGAGTCCCCCATAATCTGCTAGTTAGCAGGTTATCCTCACTGGGGATATGTGACCCTCTCCTGAGCTGGATAAAATCATTTCTCTGTGACCGAAGTCAGATAACGAAAGTTGGCTCGATAATCTCAAGGCCTAAACCAGTAAGTAGTGGTGTAATCCAGGGAAGTGTATTAGGCCCACTGCTATTCATACATATATATAAACAGTATCTGTGAATGCTTTAGTGTTGGTAAATCAATACTATATGCAGATGACTTAAAAGTGACCTATAAATGCAAGAACACAGATCTTGGAATAACAGTAAACGTCATACAGCAAGAATTAGAAAAAATGGATAGATGATGTGACACCTGGCAACTCCAGTTTAATGTCGACAAATGTGGCTGGCTCTGGAATCTGGATTGGTCTGCTGTATTGGACCTATGGCTGAAATACTCACATGACTTATCATTTTCTGAACATATCTCCAAACAAGTGTCAAAGTCACGCAGACTTATCGGCTTTCTACTCACGAACTTCTACAGAAATGAGTCTAGAATTCTGTTGTACATGGTTTATGTGCGTCCTTTATTTGATTACCATTCATTCATGTATAGTGATATACGCATGGAGGACAAATTGAAAGTCGAGGGAGTGCAGAGGTACTTCACGTCAAAATTACTCGGAACCGAAAATGGTGCGAACTACTCCACTAGATGTGACACCCTAGGACTAGAAACACTATGGCTAAGGCGCCTGAGACTAAACTTGACACTTTACTATGAGCTTCTAAACCACTTAGTTTTTACCTCTACTAATGGAACTCGACTTTCAGATGACAATGGGTACAGTTGCTATCGAACAATGTAAAACAGCCACCAGGCAAAAGTTTTACTTGATTAGGTATGCTCGCAAATGTGTGCTGTGGGTATGCTTGTGGTGTGTTGGCTTTTCTGTTTGTTTTCCATTTCAGCTCTGTCCGTGTGACCCAGGTTCTCGCAATGGCATCCAAGTCAACGTGCATTGGTCGTGAAGGAAAGAAAGGATGGATCCGTATTTTGCCGGGGAGTGTCAATGCAGTTGAAGATTGAACGATCAATTCTTGGTTGTTTGCTCAAAACAACTTCCCCAATTTTCGTGGAGGCATCAATACGACAGTCATCGTCTCATCAATCGCTGTTCAGAAATAAGTCAGTAGCAAGCCATCAGAAGTTATCTTATGATTTCTTATTGTAATATTTGTTCACAGACCTTAGTTCAAATATTGTTTTTATAGGTTGGTGTAACAATGAAGAATTCTCAAGCGGCCAATCGGTGTTTTGGTTTTTTCGTCCGTTATAACTTACCGTTTCTGAAATCTTCAAGGAACAGCGGGGGCCCGAGCGTAGCAAGAGCTGGGCATTAACGGTTTATGAGACGTGACTGACAACGGTTGTCTCCTGACTTCTTTCTGAACAGTGACCGATGAGACGATGACTGGTGTGTTGATGCCTCAGCGAAAATTGGGGAAGTTGGTTTTGAGCGAACAACCATGAATTGATCGTTCAATCGTCAACTACATTGACAAAACCATACAGCTTTCTCGATATCCACCTCTCTAAGACCATTTCGTCATTAACGATTGCCGTTTTCTCTCTGATTTCCCTATTCCAAGGGTGGGATGCAGTATACCAGCAAACTCGCTCAAAGCTTGGTTGACACTGTCTTTCACCAGCCTCACGATATCATCCAACCCGGGCTCTAAACCCTCCGCCTCCAGACGTGAACAGACCATTAGGAACTTTCCATTTAATAACAATTATTATTATTTTATCTTCATATAAACATATATATTTACATAAAAATGCATGCCATTTTTACAGGCACGATCAAGTATGTTATAATGTCAAATCTTAAATTGTCTACAAGTTAATAGTGTTTCAACAGTTAAATATTTGATACATATATATAATTACACTCATTGTCTTAACCACGCCGTATAATTATTGAATTGTACAGTTGTCCTCCAGGTTGAGCGAGAAAATCGTTTTTGCTTCGTTTTCATCCCGTGGTTGTAGGCATGCGATAACCAACCAAAATTGAGGTAGGTACAACGTTTACAAGGGATTGGAAGCTGTTTTAGAAAAGTAAAAGTGCTAAGGTGAGTCATTAAAGTATGACAAATTAAGTAAGTGCAATATATCATTAATAAACACATTTATATAGAAAACAGAATGGGGAAGTAATTAATCCTTAGGCCGACAACGTTCATTTGCAATGTATAATAAAACCGATATATTTCGTACTATCATGATGTCCACTTTTGGCTTTAATACAATTATTTTCAAGCCAGTTCTCTTTATTTCATGCTTTTTTGTCTATTTGGTGCACAACCGTACCCTACAGATAATAGGAATAGAATAAGTCGAATAAAATTCGTAAAGAGCTATAAAATGTTAGGTTTAATGGAATATAATGAGGATCAAGTAAAGATATTATTAGAAAATGAATGAGATAAGACATTGTGAAGTGGTATTCAAAGATCCGACAATGGATAGCAAGTTATTTTATAAGATGCCCCATAAATCTGTGCAGAGCCCACGTGGTCGCGTCTCAACA